GAGAGAGAGAGAGAGAGAGAGAGAGAGAGAGAGAGAGAGAGAGAGGAGCTGGAGATGGGGAACCTCACCGACGGGCCTGGGTATTGTGTGAAGTTGCCCACCCGGTATGGAGGGCAAACCGGGTAAAACAGGGTGCAGGCCGAGGCCCCAATGATGCGGTCCAGATTGCAAATTCGCACATGGGCATGACAGGGGCGAAACGCAAAGAATTAGGCCCTAAAGGGCATTCCGCTCTACCCAGATCTTTTAGGGGCATTTTGGCATATATCTCAACTTATAGGGGGATTTCGAAAATTATCCCTTTTTTTTTCTTTTAAAGTAGATGAGATTCACACAAAACAAGAAGAAGGTGAAAAAAAGGGACAAAAACTTGAAAAAAGGAATGAAGGTTCATACCTGACAGTCCTGGCAATCAAGCTTGAGCTGAGTTCACCCATCATCAAGTTCTGCACATGTCATTAGATATAATAACTATTAATAAGCCTTCAGAAGTTTACAGCTCCATCTGCTCTGAAAAGAAAAGGAAGAAGCTGGGCTCTGTGAAATAAGTTCTCTCCATAATATTCCTTGCCGATTCACCACGATAAAAAAAATTGGAATTTGAACTTTCATCCTGAAAAAATCATCAACCTCTTTTTTTCTTTGCCTGAGTGCTGAAAATTCATCTTCACTTCTTCTTTTCTTTTCAAAGATTGTAGGATCTTTATGTTTCAATTCTTTTCCCTCGCATCACCCTTGAATCTTGATCTAATCTATATCAACAAGACCTACTTCGTTTTCTTTCTTTTTTTTCTGCTTTTTTTTATCTCTCAGGAGCTCTTCAACTCCTTTGGTTTCTTTTCCTTGGTGACATTCATGATATACGCCTCAATAACTGTCACACAAACCACCAACTTAGGACAAAAACAGGGCAAAAGATTAAAAAAAATGTAGAGCATACTGTATCGAAAGGATTCACGCGTCTCAGGAGCCAGTCCTGCTACCAAGTCCCTATTTCCCCCCTTTACATAGACCCATCTGTAGGCCGTGACTGGCACATTCCAGTAGGTCAGGGTCCGTAGGGTCTGTCGAAGCCTGTAGAAGTTAGTAAAGGTCAGCTGCTAGGGGCTGGACACATGTCAGGCCCTGGTGAGTCACAGCTCAGTCGCACGAAGTTTCATAGAAGTCCAAATCATGGACATCGCCAAGGACCGAGGGACCAATGTCACAAATCTAATTTTTGGAGCCCAGCGAGTACAAAAGTCAAGTCGTGTGAGTGGCGGATTAGGGCACCGGTTGGAAATGCATGTTGTGGTCTGAGGCTGCGGGCTCAAAACCCCGCAGCCTTGTCCATAGGCCGCCAGCAAGGCTTTAGGTTGACGCACTACCAATCACACACTGAGCGTGCGCGCAGCCAGGGGGCACGGATGTACGTAAGGAGACTGCTCCGGGAGGGGCTGGCTCAGTGGGGGTGAGTACGGGAGGAGTGAAGGTTTCGCCCCCTTCCTAGCAGGAGTGACTCTCATCCCCACAGCACCTGGTGACTGTGGTGCATTGGCCTCCCGGCTGGGTGCCTAGAGGATGCAGGACCCTGAGTTCTAGGGGGTGCACCCTGGCGCAACAGCCTGGTAGCTCCAGTCCAGGCTGATACTCCCAAGTGTGTGTGGCAAGGTTTCAAGCCCCAACCTTGAGTGACCCCTGAGTGAGTGGATGGGCCGCTGTGCCGACAGGTGGGCTGAACCTGGCGCGTGAGGCCCCCTGCCGGACTTCCTCCCTGGGTCATATCCCCGACACCCCGCAACCCTTGAAGAAAAAACGAAAAAAAAGTCAAGTCGCAGCTAGTGTCAACACTTTTGCCATTCGTGATGGCACACTGAAGCACTGCTGTGTTATTGTGCAACTTGACCGCGAGTGAGAGGGAACAAGCTAGGTGTAGTAGCAGTCCACAGCGCTGGGCGCCATAGACAGAAGTCGAGACACAGAGACAAGAAGACATTCAGAGAGGGATGGGGAGGCCTGAGGGTAGATGTGTGTGTGTGTGTGTGTGTGTGTGTGTGTGTGTGTGTG